TCAGCCTCCATGCCCTGAGATGGAGTGATTGGCGGTCCAGATGTCTGAGGTGCCCGTAGTTCTACATGAGAAGGTCTGGATACAGGGGAAGAACTATGGGGGCTTCTACAGACAAGGTGAAGAGGGAGGAGAACCAATGCTGGCACAGCCACATGTCCTGTCCCTGCATGTCTTGAGCAGGACTCTGTGGATCAGTGGGATTGGGGGAAACATACATTAACTACCCCCGTCTCCATTGAATCACAAACACATCCACTATAGAACCTGGACTGCAGTTCTGGAAAGAACAGAAGTCTTTGCATTTCTTGTTGTCCCTGGTGGTGAACAGGTCTAGTCGGGGAAACTCCCACCCGCAGAAGATTGAATGAGCTATGTCCACTCATGGACCATGAATGTCCTGCTGAGGGCAGCTGTGAGTGTGTTCTGCAGACTTGGGAGGTATTGGGTCTCTAGATGGATACCATGCCTTATGAAGAACATCCAGCGGCTCTGGGCTTTGAAGGCAGACATGTAATAAAGAAGCAAGGTGGGGTGAGGTTATGTAAAACATTGCAGTCGTATTGTCTGTGCACACCGACACACACTGACCTTCCATTTGCAGGTGGAATACTTGGCAGGCCAACCTGACCACCCTGAGCTCTTTCACATTGATGTGAAGAGCCAAGTCCTCGGGACTCCATATACCCTGGGGCTGTGGCTACAGGGACACGATCTCACGCAAAAGCGGCTGCTCTTGTGGAAAAACTTGCTGCCTGTCTACACTGGCCATGTGTTCTTGCACAAGTAAACTGACGTTCTACTGTATAAAAACAGGGCTTCTTGTGTGAGAACTCTGACGCTCCCGCTCAGGAAGAAGCCCTTTTGCACGAGAGCTCTTCCAGAAGAGGCCAGTGTAGACAGGCAACATGAATTTCTTGCGCAAGAAAGCCCTATGGTTAAAATGGCCATCAGAGCTTTCTTGCGCAAGAGAGAGTCTTCACTGGCATGGATGCTCTTGCACAAAAGCACATCTTTTGAGCAAAAGCACATGTCAGTGTAGATGCTCTCTTCTGGAAGAGTTTTTGCAGAAGAACTCTTCCGCAAAGGAGTTTTTGTGTGAGAACACGCCAGTGTAGACGTACCAGTCTGCAGTGTTCCCAGATGGGCCCCCAACATCCAAAGCCTAGGGGAGAGAGGCTTGGGCAGACCATGGGGGAGGTGCATTTTCACCCTTTGCATACACACCCCCTCCACATATGGGCCTGACCAGGGAGGAAAGGTGGGGATGCGAGAAAAGGAACTCGTAGCCCTTGGATGTCACAAAATACCTCCTTTTCCCCCTTTCACCGAAGCCAAGGTTTTCCTCTGTGAGTTATAGTTTGACTGGATGGTCTTTATAAGGGGTAAAGCCACTCGAGGGACCCTTTTGAGACAGAATGTCCACCATAGGGTCCTCTGGCACCTGGATTTCTTCCATGGGGAGGTTCATATTTTGCGCCACCCACCATCTGATAAGTTTTGTGGTCACCAGGAGGGGTTCTGCCATGGAAGTGCCTGCTGGAGAAGATGATGAGGAGGTGGTGGGTAGTAATGGATCCAAGGGTGGTGCTGGTTGGTGACAGTCTCACACCTTTTTCCCTCCTCTGGGTGGAGCAGTACATGTGCAGGGACAGGGGTCTCCATTGTTGGGATGCCCGCTTGAGTGGGATGAGACACTGTCACCAAGGGTGCTGTCAAGTGTCACCTGTCCCTTGGTGATCTTGAGCGGTGGTGGGTGGATGCCACTGATCTGGATGACCTGGAGGCACCTTGGGACTGATGGTGCGCCCAAGGTGTCCAAAAGGGCCATGGAGATGGAGGAGGCCACTGAGGCTACCACAGTGTCGGAAGATCTCTTCTGCATTGGCCACTGTGACTCCTTCAAGAGTACACGGATGTTGTGTCCGACTCCAAAGGAGAAGACCACAGTGGTGCTGAAGAGGTCAGTTCTGGAGCTTCATGCCTGGAGGTTCTCAACATCATGGAATGGTGCTGGGAAAAGCACAATCCTAAATGGCGCCATCCATCACGGGACTGAGATGTGGCCTGGGACCAGGAATGGGACCATGATGTAGAATGGTGCAGTGCATTTGGTGCCATCTCTCTGGCCTCCCCATGTGGAGCTCCGGTGTCGGGGAGTCCACAGGTCCCCTCAGAACTGGTGGTACCAGTGAGTGAGGCGCTGGCGGCGGTGAGCGCTCTGTGGGCAATGAGGCTGACCTGCCCTGGTGCTGGTCCAGAGACTGAGGGTGCCATAACATAGCCGACTTGTCTCTTGACTGATGAGTCCTTGCTGGTGCCAGTGGTTTGTCACACACTACTGTTGCCTCCGTCTCTGATATCTCTATGAGGTCTCTCATGGCCTCATAAGTGTTCAGTGCCGAGAGGGAATTCAGTACATGCACTGCGATGGCTGTGTGCTGCACTCAACAGTGCCATTTCCAGGGCCAGAGTCAATGGCACTGTCAGGGCTGTTCCCTACTCTGGCACTCAGATTGCAGAAGGTGGGGGCTTTGGAAGAGACCTTCAAAATACCTTGCCTCCATAGGCTTCTGCTTATAAAGACTTCCTAAGGTCATAGATTCTCTGACTATCAAGTATAAAAACTCCGTCTTCTGAAACTCAGGAAAAATCACTTGAACTTCTTCCTGAGGGGTACCCCAAGACCCCTTAAAGACAGCTTAAAAAAGAAAATAAAGAAAAAGAAAAACTGCAATTGCTGATAGCTGACTTCTCCATCTAAGGACACATAAACACACACCTCCTGCTACTTCCCAGGACACAAGAATCAAATCATCGCCTTCAAAAAAATGTGATTTTTATTAACAAAAGAAAAATATATACTACTAAAGCATATTTGGTTGCTAGGTGTCACAGAGCAACTAAGAAAAACAAACTAAAATACAGAGACACAGTCTCTCCGGGCTGAATCTTAGATACAGTGAATGGGGGTGGGGCTGCACGTGGCTTAGCACAGAGAAGTTAACCAAGCAACAAAACAAATAAAATAACCTCATCGTGACTAAATATACATTTCCCCCTATTACTCACGATCCATTTCAAGGTCCAGTCCAGTTTCATGCCCGGTATTCCTTGGAGGCATGGTAGTCCTGTCTGGATCTAAAACATCCTGCTTCCCCAGCTACTGGCTTAAACTTACACAAAGGAAAAACGGCAGGAAGTAGGTATAGCTTTACAATTCAAATTTCAGCACTGCATCCCATTGGTTCTTCTGGTTCCCTGCTAACACCCGCTAGCTACCTGAGTATAGCTCTTTAGTCACTGAATGCTGGCCAGCACTCCTGTTCTCCATCACAGGTGTGCTCTGGGCCTGGTGCATGGGAGTTCTCCTGTGCCGTGCCAGGTCTTGCTCTGGCCAGGCCCTCTGGGGTGATTGCCCTCTGCCATCCTTATGGCCACGTGGTGCCAGTGAAGTCAACCAGTGCCTGGGTGCCAGGTTTTTGGTGCTGATGGACTTTGGCACTGAGAGTCCTTCACGGCTCCCACCTTCAGCACAGTCTCAAGCAACAAGGCTGGGACGCGCCACACAAAGTTTGGACCCAGTGCCATCTTAATCTGTGCTGGTCTCAACGCCACCTCCATTAGAAGTTGTTGGAGCCATTATTCGCGATGCTTTCTGGGCTTGAATCCTCTGCAGATCTTACACTTCTCAGTCCGATGCTCTTCTCCCAAGCACTAGAGACATGCTTCACTGTTTGGCATAGGCCACCTGCAAAAAGTGCAAGATTTAAACCCTGGGGTATTAGGCATGCCCCGGTGCCCCAAAGGGCTAACCTTGTCAGTAGGGATGTTAAAATTAGATTAATCGACTAACTGAATAGTTGATGGAATTTCCATTGACTATTTGATTAGTCGATAAGGGCGCTTCCGATTCAAAATGTAGCAAGAGCTGCCCAGCTGGGGCAACATTTCAAAGGCAGAAGTGTCACACAACCTTCTGCCTTTGAAATGTACAAGAGCCCCAGGCGCCATGTGGCATTTCAGTCTTTGAAATGCACAAGAGCCCCTACTCGGCTCTTGTATATTTCAAAGCGGAAGCGCCCACATAGAGCCAGGGTCAGCAGGGGACTCACTGCTAGCCCCAGGCTCCATGCGGCTCTTTTGCTTTGAAATGTACAAGAGCCCCAGCGGGAACTCTTGTCCATTTCAAATTTGGAACGCTGCCCCGCCCCCTCCCATGGAGCAGAAAGCTGGGAGGAACCGGCTTTTAAGCCAACTCCCCCAGCACCCTTCTTTTCCCTCCCTTTGTTGCCTCTTTCTGATAGAGGCAGCAAGGAGGGGGGAAGCGATGAGTTGACTAGTGTGTTGACTATCCAATAAACTTTTGCTTATCGGATAGCCGACTAGTCGATTCATTGCTTACATCCCTACTCGTGGGCAGAAAGCCCACTCCTAACTACTAATTAACAAGCTAGCAATAGTTAAAGAATGGGTAATGTATCTACTAGAGAATGTGCTAGGGATTAGAAGCTTCCTAAGCAAGACAGCTAGAAGTTCCATCACCATAGACGGTAAGAAGGAACTGAGGAAGGGGGAGTGGTATGTAAGTGCTGATATAGTCGCACCACTCGATGGCTGTGTCTAGACTGGCAAGTTTTTCTGCAAAATCATCTGCTTTTGCGGAAAAACTTGCCAGCTGTCTACACTGTAAGATCATCAGTGCTTTTCCGGAAATACTATGCTGCTCCCGTTCGGGCAAAAGTCTTTTTCCGAAAGACTTTTGCACAAAAGGGCCAGTGTAGACAGCACAGTAGTGTTTTCCACAAAAAAGCCCCAATTGCAAAAATGGCGATCGGGGCTTTTTTGCGGAAAAGCATGTCTAGATTGGCCACGGACGCTTTTCCGCAAAAAGTGCTTTTGCGGAAAAGCATCCTGCCAATCTAGACGTGCTTTTCCGAAAATGCTTTTCATGGAAAACTTTTCCGTTAAAAGCATTTTCGGAAAATCATGCCAGTGTAGACGTAGCCTATAGGTCTCCACAGCCTGTAGGAGAGCTATGGCAGCTGCTAGGAAAAAATGTTTCCAGTGCTTGTGCACGCAATTGTGCACACACACACACGACTGGAATTGATGTGAACAAGCACTTAAAGAAGAACCAGCATTCCGCTGTTTCCAGAAGACTGAATGCTCACGGCATTTGCGTGTCAGTCAACTCAACTGCTTTGCTGATGAGTACGTCATTCCAGTGGACACTGGACACGCTCTGGACACACTCCAACATTAGGCACACCAAGGTTAACATCATCATGCTTAACGCACAACGGGTTCCACAGTGGGTGCCATGCTCACACTGCTAAGGTGTCTGCATGGGTGAGAGAAACAAGGGTGCAAAAAGACTGCACTTGCTCTCAAGCAGGGGGGAGGGGAGGGTGGAAACAGATGCATTATGGGATGACATGTACCCAGAACCACCCTCTGCAGTTTTGCTTCCAGCATTCACTGATTGTACAACTGAGAATGCAAAGAGGCATAGCACTGTGGGATAGCTACCCACCGTGCATCACTCTCAGTGGCCATGGTAGCCACACAACTGGGATGTGCTACTTGAACCTATGAGAAACTTTGGGTGAGATCAAACGTCTCTGGACACGAGGTTAACCTGTTAGTTGTGATGGTAGAAAGTGATTATGATTTTATTTTAAATGGAACCATTTGTTTCCAATATCCTTACTCACTGTAGCCGGAATTTCTAGACTTTGATAGTAAATGTTCCTGTTTTCACAGTCTGTATAGCTCCATGCTGCAGCATTAAGCAAAGTGCTGGTACAGCTCTGCATTTGGTGTGCACAGCTCCCTAGTCACTAAGCACCAGTATCATGCTTCAAAGAGCAGCCCTATTGTTACCCTGCAAGGCAAAGCACGGGCTGGCACAGGCCAGAGGCGTGTGCTTGAGTAGCTATGGGCAGGTGGGGTTAAGCTGACTCCAGGACTGTCCCTAGTGGGGACAACCTTCCTTCCACCCCATCCTGCTCCCCCACCTCTTTTGGCCCCACTCCACTCATCCCCCCAACTCCTGTCCCTCTGCCCCTTCCTTCAAACCCCATCCCGAGTGACATGGCTTGGGGACCATTGGGGACAGCGATGGTCAGGCCCGCCCACACGCTCACCAGCAGTGGCAAGAAGCAGAGCAATCTGGTCTCATCCTGCTCCCAGCTGCTTTGCTCCACTTTTCAATGCTGGTGAGTACAAGGGGCGGGTCTACACTCCCTTTCCCCCCCTCCCTGAGCTGCATGACTGAGAGCCATGGGCGTGGAGCAGGCTGGGCCAGGTCACGCTGCTTCTTGCTGCTGCTGGGGAGTGCAGGGGTGGGACTGACTGCTGCTGGCACCAAGTCCCCTTCTAGGCCCCTTAGCTGACCTAGGCCATGGGGCAGATGCCCTGAACCATCCCATGGGTTTGGCTGACACCCAGCTAAGCACAAGCTGGTGGCAGGGGGCAAGAACATGCCTGGGAACCGAGACCCATCACATGGCCTGGCACAGTGAGTGTTCTCGCCGCTCTCAATACCCTTTGTTCTTTTTCTGCAGGAAAAGGCAGTGGAGCCTCAGCCTCGTGTTTCCTTAAGTTAAGGGCTGGGAACAGGAAATTACTTGGGCTACTGATACTGCCTTGTGCTGGCAGCTCTGACCAGAGCAGCGCGCCACAGCTCCCTTCCCAGCATGGAGCGCTCCTGGTGCACATTCGTGCTGTGGTGCAGCCTCTGGGGACTCTGCTTGGCAAGTCCGGACTATGATGGTGAGTGAGTGGGTGAAAATCTTACTGCTCATTAAGGAGACTGGGCACTTTGCCCCCTTGCAGCTTTCTGGGGCTCCCACGCAAGCATGCTGGGAAGGCAAAGGACACGGCTCATGTGCTAATCTAATGCAGGAGAAGAGACGTAAGGGGTTTGTAGAGCGAGGAGAAAATGGGGAGGAATAATAGTCAGAGGGGGACAAGAGAGAAACCCAAAAGGCAGCTGTGGAGCTTGAGCCTTGCCTGGGGAGCAGCTCCTGCCCACTGTTATTGTTCTGGACCCCCCCGCCCCTTAGTGTGCTTTGCTGGGAGCTCAGGAATAGCTCTGCAGAGGCCACATGCTGACTGCGCTTGCATGAACATTCGCCTCAGGCCAAGGAGCTCACAAGCCGGTACTAATAAAAGAAAGTTCTTCTTCACACAGCGTGGAGTCAACCTGTGGAACTCCTTGCCAGAGGAGGCTGTGAAGGCTAGGACTATAATAGAGTTTGAAGAGAAGCTAGATAATTTCATGGAGGTTAGGTCCATAAAAGGCTATTAGCCAGGGGATAAAATGGTGCCCTTGGCCTCTGTTTGTCAGAGGCTGGAGAGGGATGGCAGGAGACAAATCACTCGATCATTGTCTTCGGTCCACCCTCTCTGGGGTACCTGGTGTTGGCCACTGTCGGCAGACAGGCTACGGGGCTAGATGGACCTTTGGTCTGACCCAGTACGGCCGTTCCTATGTTCTTATGTTACTGGCCCAAGCCGCATGCCGGGGCTATGTGGTTTTTGAACAGCTACGAGCCTGAGGGGAGGATGCTTCGCAAACTGCCCATTGACAATAGGCAGTTCCAAATGGCCGGAAGCCGGCCAGTGGGATTGCGCTAGGGCAGGGACAGCACCTGAAGCTGTTCCTCTCTCCCCGGCTCACAGAGCCCTGCAAGTTCGCAATGGCCACTTTTCTCAGGGAGCAGGCAGGGAGTCTGCTTGAAGCCCACTGCTGCATCTGCAGGCCGGATCTGGCGGCTCTGCAGGGTGGGTTTGGCCCATGGAGGATATTTTGCCCAGGCCTGGTCTTGTTGTAATGCAAACCCCTGAGGGCATGGGGGCAAGAACCTTGTCACCAACCCTGCCTGCAAAGGGCAAGCACACAGGGCCCTGCATGAGCAATAACAGACTATGTTTGCACCTCTAGATTACTCCCAGAACAATACCAGCGAGCAGGAGATGACATCAGCCAATACACTGTGTCCCCGGGCCATCCCAGGAGAGACGGTGACTCGTAACAACATCACCTACCTGTCCATCCATGAGGCCTCCCGCTCCCAGCTGAGCAGTGCAGTGACCGTGTGGTTTATTCCCTGCCTCTATACTGCTGTCTTCCTGGTGGGGTTGCCAGCCAACGGACTAGCTCTTTGGGTCCTAGCAACTAGGATTGAGAAGCTGACCTCCACCATCTTCCTCATGAACTTGGCTGCAGCTGACCTGCTCCTGGTGCTTGTGCTCCCCTTTAAGATCACCTATTACTTCCTGGGGAATCACTGGCCCTTTGGGGAGGGCCTGTGTCGGCTTACCACTGCCTTCTTCTATGGGAACATGTACTGTTCCGTGCTCCTGCTCATGTGCATCAGTGTTGACCGGTACTTGGCTGCGGTGCACCCTTTCTTCTCCCGCTCCTTCCGCAGTCCAGGCTTTGCCGCCTGCACTTGCCTCAGTATTTGGCTCATTGCTGCCATCTTCACCTTGCCCTTGACCCTCTTGCAGCAATCCTACCCCCTGGATCACGCAGACATCACTCTGTGCCATGATGTCCTCCCCAGGCACGAGGAGGCTGAGTACTACTATTACTACTTTGTGTGCTTGATCGCCTGTGGCTTTCTGGCCCCTTTAGTGGTGATGCTGTTCAGCCACTGCTCGGTACTGTGGATCCTGCTGCGCAGCAGAGAGAGGTACGCGCATGCCATGAAGCTCACTGTCCTGGTGCTGTTCACAGTCGTGGTGTTCTACACACCTAGCAACATCTTTCTTCTTGTCCACTATTCCAGTAACTGCTCCAAGCTCTATGGGGACTTGTATGTCAGCTACATGATAAGCCTGGCCTTCAGCAGCATCAACAGCTGTGTTGATCCCTTTGTCTACTACTACGTTTCTGAGGACTTCAGAGACAAGGTGAGGCAGAGAATTTTCAGCCAAAGCAAGCAAGTCATCACATCTCTGAAAACCTCTAAGTCCCCATCCCTGGTGTGAAGGGCTGCCATCCCTCACTCCCAGGGCATCTGCTCACCCCAGAGCTGAAGTTCTGACACAGAGTGTCAGGGTTCAATCAAGGTAGGAAGCGAGTCCAGGCAGGGCGGTGGAGACATACTCTTAAGATAGAATTCATCAGGGTTTTAGGAACTTCTACGAGACTTGGAGCCCAAATTTAGATGGTGACCACTGTATGCATACAAACATATAACAAAGACAGCAGATAAGACTTTAACAGCTGCTCTGTCCGCGTACCATGCTAACTGGCTGTTAAGGGAAGGATGTATTGTTGCCTCTACATATAATAGCAGAGGTCGCTGTCGTGGGACGGAACTTGGAGTAACTGAGGTAAAAGTGGAAGCATGAGAATATATTTACTTAGTATTAAACCCTGTCCAAGCAAACTGAGAGAGGCACCTTACAGACACCCACACACTAATCTTTGCCTCCGACCCCACACATCTTGTGCATGGCTCTGCACATATGTCTATATGCAGGCAAAGTTAGAATCTTCTTACCTGACTTGGTAAACTCTCTCATGGAAATGCCAGAATCTCCGATTCCTAGCAAAGCCACTTTTATCCTGATTTCAGAAAAAATAAGGGAAGTAGAGAAAGAGTATAGCCAGAATTAAGAGTTTCTAGAGTGAGAGAGAAAGTGAGAGTCAGGACTCCTGGTTTCTATCCCAGTCTCTCTCAACTAGTCTATGCCCTCAAGTAAGTAAGTTACTCTCCTTGCACCTCAATATCCCCAGATATGAAATGGAGAGGATACTTGCAAGGCTGAATTCATTAATGTCAGAGCCTCATAAGATGCATTGTTTCATGCTAATTATTCTATGTGAATAAGGTGAAATGTCAGGTTCTTTAATAAGGGGCTTCTCGCTTAGCAAATCCTCAGCCTATTGGTGGATTGTACAATGTACCCAATGTACAAAAAATATCCACCCATTTCCTGTATGCAAATGCTTTGCTGTTCAGCACCTGTTATTTCTTTGAAGTGAACTATCTCTCTTTAGCATGTTATGAAGGGAGCCCAGCTTGTGCCCAGGGAAAAGGATTATCGTGTCTCTTTAAGAAAGGATACTAGTCAAGCATTGAAAACTCCACACTGGGATCCCACACTGCTTTTGTGTAACCTGTTAAGACCAACGTGCCCCAACACCCCCATAAAGAGTTGACCATACTTGCAGCTGTAGTCAGGAATGTGTTGCAAATGTGACAAGTTACAGCCACTGTATCCTTGAAAACAAAACTGAAGGCACCTCCTGGCAAAAAATGAAGCTGAAATGAATGGAACTCCAGCAACTCCTTAGAATTGTTGAGTATTTTGATTCAGTAGATACGTGTACTACTATTCTCAGTGCTGTACAATAGTCTTAGTAGATTAGAGTAAACTTAGCGTAGCAGTCCTGCGGTATGCTCCCTCTGCACTATTACAAGGCAGTTAGTAGAGAGGAGAGGAAGACAGAATTGTTTTAGAAATCAATTTTTAATAAAATATTCATCAGTATCTAAAACAACCCCTTTTCTGGACTCATCTTAACCAATATTTGTGCGAAGAAAAATTGTCACAAAGCTGCTTTTCAAAAACTAGAGCCTCTGTTCCATAGGTGCAGGACTCTGAATGCTGAGAAAAGACCAGCTGCTGAATGCAAGAGAGAGATGATGGCATTAGACCAAGAGTCAGGGCTATTGTCACCCCACCACAAATAGCACACGCAGGAAAACAAAAACTGAGAGGAAAGGATTTTTTAAACATTCAATTGACAGAGATGCATTTTATATTGACAATCTACTCACAATAATGAAACCCAGATTATTGCACATTAAACAATCAATGTCAGCAAAGAAAATGCTGCTGCTTTCAACTCAAAGTTTTAAGTTTATCTTTGTCTGTAAGTTGTTGTCTATTGAGGCTGCTCAAGATGAGGGAAAAGAGGAATGTTTGAATAATAAAGGACAAAAGAACTTTTGCTTTAAAATAAATACTGTAGTAATGATCGCTCCTGGTAATATTCATGTACAGTTACAGATATAAATACTAATTTCATTGGAGGGATTACAAGCAAAATCACTGATAACTAGTGAGCACTATCAAGTTTATTTAGCAAAATACCTTGGTATAAGCAGGCTCTTCTGTATCTCACACGCTCACTGGTGTTTCTCTCACCTTCATGTTGAATCATTGTCTCTAAGCATGTGAGAAAAATGGTTCCAAATTGGCAAAAATCCCCAAACCCAAAGCAAACCCCACTTCTTGTCTGCCTTCATTCAGTCTAAGCCACTGCACCCTGTGGGATAAAAAGCTCTTTCCTCTCCCAAATAGCACCGAGGAACTGAACCTGACTATGCAGATGGTCTGGGTTCAGCGACAGGTGTGTGCCTGAGAAGTCTCAGAGTCAACATATGCAAGTCTGTGAATGACCTAAAGTGTGAAGCCTCCACACTGGGGCCAGGGTCATACAGGGGACATATTCCCAGATGGAACATGTACTGGAACCAGCTCTTTAAAGAGGGAGGACAGGACATTAATTTAATTTGCCCTGATAATAGAATTATGACAAAATCAAGGGCAGTGAGTCTGGGAATGGGAGAATGCAACTGTGCACAGTAGCTGGGCCTTTAACTGGGGCAAACATGGACTCCAATGCATAGTTACTCCTTGCATCACCTACCTTTGGGTATAAGGCCTTTCCCTTTGTTGTGAGAAGGGAAGAGTGGCAGCTGTTTTTCTGTATTTGTAAGTTTCTGTCCTTGGTTCTTTAAATAAACAGCCTGTATAACTGCAGCAAGAAATTGGCTGTGGGGAGACTGGCTACAGTTTTGGCAGCATGTCCTTAGGAACAAAGGATGTTCTATTTTTGGGGTGGAAAAGCAACTTGGTGACGCTGACTACTCTGCAAGTGCCAAGGTTACAAAAACGCTTCTGGCCAGGATTTGGCACACAGGGTCTCTACGAGCCTAGAAGAGCTCTATAGCCTTAACAAGGTATGGTGTACCCCAGCACAAGAACTGGAATACAGGGAGCAGCAGTTGCTGGTAGTTAAAACTCCACTATACAGAAGAGATCCGCCAATATACTCAGCGGCTGTGTCTACACTGGCATGAATTTCCAGAACTGCTTAAAACGGAATACTATTCCGTTTTTAGTTTTTCCGGAAAAGGAGCGTCTACATTGGCAGGCTGCTTTTCCGGAAAAGCCCTTTTTCCAGAAAAGCGTCTGTGGCCAATGTAGACACGCTTTTCTGGAAAAGAGCCCCGATCGTCATTTTCGTGATCGGGGCTTTTTTCCGGAAAAGACTACTGGGCTGTCTACACTGGCCCTTTTCCAGAACAGTGTTCCAGAATAAGGACTTATGCCCGAGCGGGCGCAGACTAGTTTTTCCGGAATAGCAGCTGATTTTGTACAGTAGAGCATCGTTGCTTTTCCGGAAATTCAAGGGCCAGTGTAGACAGCTCGCAGCTCATTCCGGAAAAGAGGCTGATTTTCCGGAATAAATGGCCCAGTGTAGACTCAGCCAGCATGTCTATGCTTGTGTGCTGTGGTCACACCAGCTCTGACTGCCCAAAAAAGGTGCCCAGCAGGGGCAGCACATTCTGTGGGTGGGATTAATCAGCACATAATTAACACACTCCCCACCCCATGAAACACCTTCACTCTAATGAGACACAGACAGCAACAAGTCAGGATGTGAAGGGAGAGGGAGAGAAGCTGGGGAACTTGGAGCCCGGCCTGAGGAGCCAAGTTCCCATCTTAGGTGGAGGCAAAGGAGCAGAGGGCCAAGAAGCCGGGTCACAGTCTTATTATTAGTGTGAGAGCTCAAGTCTCTCTCTTCCAGCCTTCAGCCTCATTGAGGGCTGATGCTGGTGCCACCAAACAACTGGGATGTACTGTGAAGTTCTGATGTTTTTAAAAGAAGAACATGCCTTTTTCTAGAGCTTGCAGTAAGCCTGTTAAATAGATAAATATTGACTTCTGCTGCCATGTGTGCACAATAGCCAGCACTTGCCATGCCAGCTGCTTGCTGGAGGCAGTACCAGCACAGAGACAGAATTTAGTTTGAAGGTATTTGTTTACCTGCTAGGCAGACATGGAGCAGCTGGTGCTTCTGCTATGCTGCAGGGCACAGTTAGGCTATGGTCCATTCACACACACTGAAAAGACACAGCAAACTCTCTACTGTGAAGTAGGACATGCACACAGGCAGGCCACATTGAGAGAAGAGATCAGCTCAGTGGGGGAAGGAATGAGTTGAAAAATAGCTGGCAGAGAGATTCTGGAATTTATGGGCATTTCCACCATGTCACATGCGTTTAAGAAATTTGAAGGCTGCAGCAACTATTCTACCCCAGTCTAAGAGACTGGCACTGGAAATGTAAGATCCCCCATCGCAGCTGTCACCATAGCCATAGTCTCTTCCTCAGCACTCTGGCTGGAACCAATACTCAAAAAATGGAACTCTGGGATTGACTACATGGAGAAATTGGCCAGAATAGCTTTTGTGGAGTAGCTCCCTGCATGGACAAATTCCAAACTAACCTCACTTTATTCCAGAATAATCAGTGCATTTGCAAAGTGCCCAAATGTCCACACAAGGAGCCATTCTGGCGCACTTCCCTCTATAGATAAGCCCTAAAAGTGAACTGAATGGGGCCTCCTCTTTCTTCCTTTCATGAACATGTGGACTGAAACCCCACTTTGTGCAAAGGGAAGATGGAATCAGGGAGAGGAATCACTAAAACTAAGTTGTAGGGCTGAAAAGTGATTAAAAATTAATTGTGATTAATCACATTGTTAATAACAGAAAACAAATTAACTATTTTGGATGTTTTCTACATTTTCAAATTTATTTCAGTTACCACATAAAATACAAAGTGGAAAGTGTTCATTTATTTTTATTACAAATATTTGCACTGTAAAAACCAAAAGAAATAGTATTTTTCAATTCCTTCACTACACATACTGTAGTTCAATCTCTACCAGAAACTTACAAATAT